AAGGACTGCCCCCATGCCGCTGTGTTAATTTTGATCATTTCCTATGTAGAGTGGGAAATTGTAAACATTCTATTGATAATTAGCTATTTTGTGTTGATGTTTCTAGTACATCTGGATGATTTTACATCTTTTGTGAAATTTAGGTTACAATGTTTTATTCTCCTATGGTGCTTTCTTTGTGGATTCCTGGTGAAATTTTTTTTAAAGATTTATTTATTGTAAAGTCAGATTTACAGAGAGAAGGATAGAGACAGATACTCGACTGCTTTCCCAAGCCATAAGCAGGGAGCTGAAAGGGAAGTAGAGCAGCCAGTGTATGAACTGGTGCCCATATGGGATCCTGGCCCATGCAAGGTGAGGATGTGAGCCACTAGGCTATCGCGCAGACCCCTGGTGAGTTTTAAAGCCAGGGCAACTGCTCTGGCAGTTTCTGCTGGTCAGGAGGCTTGCTCATGCTTCCCCTGCAAGCCTAGGAAGGGGAGGGATCCATCTCAGATGCTGTAACCCTGGGGGTGGGGGCCGTGAGCCTCGCCAGTTTGTCGGCCTGCAATTTTGAAGTGTAATATTCGCGGCTTATACATGTTCAACTTTTGCATTGTGAATTTTATCTGATAAGAATTGTAAACTGTTATTTGCATAGGTTAGTGAAGATATATGAAAGAAAGATTCTTGTACACATATTTATAGTCCACCTGAGGAGCCAAGCTAGCAAAAGATTCAGCAACTTAGAAATCAGCAGTAATCCAGTGTGTAAGCAGATTACAGAGGATTTTTTTAAAGAGTAGTGTTGATGTTGATTGTAGATTTGTTTTGAGATTAGTAAAATATAAATTGCAGATTGATTAGCAGATTCTTCAGTCCTTTTCCAGTCTGGATAAAATGATCTTGAATGGAGTACTTTAGAAGTGTTTTTTCCTCGAATGACCGAAGCTGTGCTTTTTTCCCCCCATCTTTTCTTTTTTCTTACTTAAAGATTTATTTTTTTCTGTTGGAAAGTTAGATTTACAGAGAAAAGGAGGCAGAAAGATCTTTACCTTCCATCTCACTCCCCAAACACTCACAATGACCAAAGCTGAGCCGATCCGAAGCCAGGAGCCAAGAGCCTCCTTTGAGTCTCTCACGCAGGCACAAGGGTCCCATTGCACTGAAACCATCTCTCACAGATTTCCCAGGCCACAGGCAGGGAGCTGGCTGGGAAGCCTGGTTGCCGGGATTAGAACTGGTGCTTATATGGGATCCCAGTGTATACAAGGCGAACACTTTAGCTGCTAGGCTACCGCTCGGGACCTTTTTAATCCTTTTAAACACCTGCTCACCACTGAATTGATTTCTCTCTAGGTTCAGTGTCCCTATCATGATACAAGTCAGTATCGTCTCGATTAGATTGGTTTAGTAACCTTTAAACTGATCTGTAGGTAACCCCTTGACTCTGACCCTCTAATTCTGTTCTCTGCTCTGTAGCAGGATACCTTTTAAATGGCAGTTTTGGGGTTGACATTTGGCACAGTAGTTAAGATGCCCCCTCAGATGCCAGCATCTCCTATCTATCTGAGTGCCTACATTCAAATCTGTTTCGATTGTTTTGCCAGCTTCCTGCTCATGTGCACCTGGGAAGCAGCAGGTGATGATTCAGGGCCTGTTTGGTCCCTTCCACCTACAAGGGAGACCCGGGTTGAGTTCCAGATTCTTGGTTTTGATCTGAACCTGTTGTAGGCATTTGGGGGAAGATAAGATAGAAATCAGATATCTCTCTGGGCCCCGCACGATGACCTAGAGGCTAAAGTTCTCGGCTTGAATGTGCCAGGATCCCAATATGGGCACCAGTTCTAATCCCGGCAGCTCCACTTCCCATCTAGCTCCCTGCTTGTGGCCTGGGAAGGCAGTCGAGGATGGCCCAAAGCCTTGGGACCCTGCACCCGCATGGGAGACCTGGAGGAAGTTTCTGGCTCCTGGCTTCGGATCGGCACAGCACTGGCTGTTTTGGTCACTTGGGGAGTGAATCATCGGATGGAAGATCTTCTCTGTATATCTGACTTTGTAATAAAAATAAATAAATCTTAAAAAAAAGATCTCTCTCTGTATGTCTTTCTCTTTTAAATGAAAATATATAAATGAAAAATAAATTTATTGGAAAGTCAGATGAACTGGGAGAGAGACAGAAAGGAAGATCTTCCGTCTGGTGATTTGCTCCCCCTGGCCGCAGTGGCTGGAGTTGACCCAATCCAAAGCCAGGTGCCAGGAGCTTCTTCCGGATCTCCCACACGGGTGCAGGGTCCCAAGGCTTTGGACTGTCCTCGACTGCTTTCCCAGGCCACAAGCAGGAAGCTGGATGGGAAGTGGAGCAGCTGGGACACACACAGGCACCCATATGGTATTCCAGTGCATGCAATGTGAGGTCTTTAGCCACTAGACCACCACGCCGGGCTCAAGAAATATTTTCTATCCTCTGCATCACTCCCCTGATGCTCAGAGCAGCCAAGGCTGGACCACACTGAAGGCAGGAGTCAGAAATTTCAGTTGGGTACCATTAAGAAATCATTCAACATCTTTGTAACAGGGAATTCTTAAGACTTTAGAAATAAAGACCTGTGGGCCAGTACTGAGAGAGAGAAAGTTGCCATCCTGTGGTTCACTCCCAATATGACTGCAATGACCAGAACTGGGAAGGTTGAAAGCCAGGATCCAGGAGGTTATTCAGGGTGTCCCACATGGATACAGGAGCCCAAGCTCATAGGCCGTCCTCTGCCACTCCCCTGGATGGCATTATCAAGGAGTTGGATTCAAAGTGAGGCAGTTGGGACTTGTTCTGGCACCACAGATGGTGACTTTACCTGCCATGCCACAGTGCTGACCCCCAGGCGACAGTGTTTGAACTCACATAAAACATTATTTTGGGCACCTGCATCCTGCTCTGGAGTACCTAAGTTTGAATCCCAGCTCCAGCTTTTTAAAAATTTTAGTAAGATTCATTCATTTTTGTTTGAAAGTCAGTTTTACAGCTTGAAGAAGCGACAAAGATGTTCCATTTGCTGATTCACTCCCCAAATCGCCCGACTTGGCTTATCAGGAGCCAGGAGTACCTCCTGGTTCCCCATGTTGGGTGCACAGTCCCAAGGCTTTGGACCATCCTCCACTGCTTTCCCCCAAGCACGGAACTAGATGGGAAGTGTGGCAGGTGACACAAACTGTTGCTCTTGTGGGAAGCTGGCACTTGTATGCAGAGAAACAGTCAGTGGAACCATGGTGCAGGGCCCAGCAGCTCCAGCTCTTTGACTTCCTGCTAATGTAGACCCTTACATGGAAGGTGTCAACTGATTTCTGGCTCCTGGCCCAGCTCTGTCCCTTAGCAACATTTGGGAAGAGGATCAGCAAATGGATACTCTCTCTCAGTCTCTCTGCCTCTCAAATAAATAGAAATGGGAAAAAATTTTTGATGTTCAAATTATTTATTCTTTAAAATGTTAATTGATGAGTGATACTCGGATTCTGGTACATTTTCCTGAGTATACTGAGTAACAATCTAATGGATCACTAATGATGTGTTCTGGCACTGTATTGGAATGATTTTTCATTTTCTTCTAAGTCTTACTGTGGTCCTGCAGCAGATACTGCTGTGTCCTCATTTACAATGCAAGTGAAGTTACGAGAATGACTCAGAAACCTCAAGAGGTCAGGTCTTCTCCAAGTCTACATATCTTGCAAGCAACAGAGTCCATTTTTAAAAAAGGTTTATTTGTTTTTATTGGCAAGTGAGATATACAGAAAAGAGGAGAAACAGAGAGGAAGATCTTCCGTCCACTGATTTGCTCCCCAAGTGGCTGCAATGGCCAGAGCTGATCAGATGTCAGGAGGCAGGAGCTTCTTCCAGGTTTCCCACATGGGTGCAGAGACCCAAGGCTTGGGCCATCCTCGACTGCTAAAAGATTTATTTTTATTTGAAAACCAGATTTTACAGAGCAGAAATAGAGAGAAGGTCTTCCACCCACTGGTTCACTCCCCAAATGGCCACGTGGCTGAGCTGATCCAAAGCCAGGGGCTTCTTCTGGGTATCCTATGTTGAATGCAGAGTCACAAAGTTTTGAACTACCCCCTGTTACTTTCCCAGGCGGTGAAGTGGGAGCTGGATCAGAATGGAGTGCCTGGGAAATGTTTCCATATGGAAAGATGGTGTCTCAGGGCAGAGCATTAACATGCTGTGCCACCATTGACAGCTTCTATGTAAAAACCAGAGCTCTCAGAATCCTCATTTGGCCACTCAAGAAGCAGAAAGGTGCTTCTCCCTTTAAATAGGAGAGGAAATACCTTCTTTGTGTTTTTCTGAATATGGCCTAGACTTGAATTTGCCTTATTTTTATTAAGTTTGTGACCATCTCTGGTAAAGCCTCCAGGTACGTTAAGAGTGGATGGAACCTTAGGAAGAAGGTGCTCCTTATTGTCCAGGGTAAAGAAAGATGGTGACCTTATTGGTCGACTAAGGTAACAACTCGAAGGAGCAAACCTTAGCAAGGCATTTCTCTCATGTTGATGGGAGTATTTCCAAAACACGAAGAGAGCCTGCTTTGTTCCCGCCATTCCTGAACCCGGTGAGAGCAGTTCTGACGTGTCTGGGGGTTAAAATTCTGCTCACCCTGTTATTGCATCGCTTGGCATAAGGTGCATGGAGGTATAACGGATACGGCTCTTTGCTGACTCTGCATTCTGAAGTCGTCCCTTCTGTGTCACGATTTTAGATACCTTCTGTTGCTGCTCGCTAATACTGCTCTTCCCCACTACTACTGTGACATTATTTTATCCTCAGCGCTGTGGGCAAGGACAGAAAATAGTTGTTGCCTACATAAAATAAAAATAAATTAAGTGTAAGTAAAACCCACATATAATAAACTTTATTGCATGCACTGGGTTACATTTCAGTTTTGTTACTGGGTAGATGAAATTGTTAGCTATGTGGTGTTTTACCTAACATCTACAGTATTCCCCCCCCCCCCATTTTTTTTAAACAGAGAAGAAGATACAGAAAATGAAAATGAAAAGAAAATTTGGTACTACAGCACAAAGATTCAGCTTGCGGAATTACTTGACTGTCTAGACAAAGATTATTGGGAAGCAGAACTTTGTAAAATTCTAGAAGAAATGCGTGACGAGATCCATCGGCACATGGACATTACTGAAGACCTGACCAATAAGGCTCGGGGCGGTAACAAATCCTTTCTGGCGGCAGCTAACGGTGAGGGGGCATTTTATCATTTTCATTACATTTAAGATAAGGTCTTTGTTATGAAATCACTACAGACTTTAAAAATACTGAAAATTTAAGCATTTTTTTTACCTTAATTTTCTATATTTTATTTTCTGAGAGAACTATATAAGATATCCTGTTCTCTTTGAACTTACCCTTTCCCCCTTACTCCCTTTCTCCCTTCCTTCTTTATTAATGAAACTTTTAACTTTAGAATAGTTTTAGATTTATAGGAAAGTTGGAAAAACAGTCGAATGGCTTCCTCTATCCCCTACACCCATTTTCCCCTGTTACTATCTTACATTCCTCTGCGCCCTTTGTCACACTTATTATATTGTTAATGCAAGTTTTTTTGTTTTGTTTTCTTTATTTTTGACAATCTTTACATAGTTGATTAGGGCAGAAAAGGTCAAGGGTTGCAGGTAAGTGGGTAAACTATTCTTTCCACATTATTGGTTTTTTGTTTTGTTTTGTTTTCCCTGTGTCTGTGGTAAAGGGGGAGATAAGTGGAGAAGCCCCAGCCAGCCTCCAACCCATCCCAGGTCCCCCACGGGGTGGGGGGTGGGGGGGAAAATGGAGCTGGTGTTTTGTTCACAATCCTTTGTATTTACCTATTACTCTCTTTCTGATTCTTTTTTTTTTTTAAAGATTTATTTATTTTTTTTTATTGGAAAGGCGATATACAGAGAGGAGAGAAAGAGAGGAAGATCTTCCGTCCAATGATTCACTCCCCAAGTGAGCGCAATGGCTGATACTATGCCGATCCAAAGCCAGGAGCCTCTTGCGGGTCTCCCACGCGGGTGCAGGGTCCCAAAGCTTTGGGCCATCCTCGTCTGCTTTCCCGGGCCACAGGCAGGGAACTGGAAGGGAAGTGGGGCCGCTGGGATAGAACTGGCGCCCATATGGGATCCCGGGCATGCAAGGCGAGGACCTTAACCACTGCGCCACCGCGCCGGGCCCTCTTTCTGATTCTTGATCCCATCCATCCAGGACTTAACCGCTTGCCATTTAATCACCTTGTCTTCCTGTAGTGTCTACATTGCCGGGTTCTCAGCCTTTCCTTGGTTTGATGACCTTGACTGTTTTGAGAGCTATTGCTTGGGTGCTTTGTGGAATACCCTCAGTATGGGTTTTCTCATGTTTTTTTCACATGGTTAATATAGAGTTGGAAAGACCACAGTGGTGAAGTGCTGTTCTCATGTTAAGGGTCCTTTTGTCACTTGGTTGAAGTAGTATTTGTCAGGTTTCTCCCCTGTAAAGTCTGTCTCTCCTGCCCTTGCTGACACTGTGCTCTTGGAGGCAAGTCCAGGACAGTCCACACTTATGGGGAAGTTCTAAGCTGAAGCTCCGTACGTTTTTTGCCCAGGATATTTGTTTCCACTAACTGTTTCAGTCTTGTTTCTTTTTAGTATAGATTGTGTATTTTGTTTGTTGGTCAGCTCTGCTTCTCTCTGGCTCTGGAAATACAGAGTGATCTTCCCTATGTTGATTTAATTCCCAAAGCCCGCAATGGCTTGGGATGGATTGGGTTGAGAACCAGGAGTCAGGAGTTTCATCTGTGTCTCTCATGTCAGTACAAGAGCCCAAGTATGTGGGTATGTATTGCTTTCCCAGATGAATTGGCAGGAGCTGGGTTGGAAGTGGAGCGGCTGGAACTGAAACCAGTGCCCAGATGTTGCAAGCCATGACTTAACCCAAAACACCACAATATCTTCCCCCCAACCACTTTTTAAAGTGAAATGCATGATAATTTTTTTTTTAAGTTTAAGTAGTCTTAAGGAGCTTAGATTGAAGGCTGTTTCCTTCCCAAGCCCCCATCTTACCTTCCTTTTCCCAGAAGCAATCTGATAGCTTAAACACACACATACTTATGATCCAGCTCCGTGGTGATGTACCTGGGAAAGCAGCAGAGGATGGCTCAAGTCCTTGCCCCTATACCAATGTGTTCGACCCAAAAGAAGCTCCTGACTACTGGTCACTTCAGCTCCAGCTGTTGTAGCCATTTTGGAAGTGAACCAGCGGATCAAAGAGTTCTCTTTCTCTGCTTCTCTATAATTATGCCTTTCAAATAAAAATAAATCTTTAATAAAAAGAAGTTTATTTTCATATACCTGAATGACAGAGCTCAAGAGAGAAAGAGAAATCAAGCTTCCACTTGTTGATTTCACTTTCCAAATGTCCATATTCAGGGCTGGGCCAGCTGGAGTCAGGAACCTAGAAATTTGCCCAGGTCTCTCTCCCATTTGGTTGGCAAAGACTCAAGCACTTACGGCCTCCCAGGGTGCGCTTTGGTAGAAGTTGGGTAATTGCTTCTCGGCCTTTTGGCTAAGGTCAAGTGTAGTAGAAGTTGGGTAAGAAGTTCAATAGTGAGAAGTTGAAGCATGCACTCTGCTAGGAGCTGTAACTTCCCCAGATGCTGTCCTAGCCACTGTGTCCAATGGTTGCCGCTTGTTCGTCATTGTGATTCTTATTTTATAATTCAATCTAATACTTTCAAAATCTAAGTTTTTGTCTTTAATACTTTATAGAAACTCTGAACTGGCATTTGTATTGTTTATATATTTGATTATTTTTATTTGTTTTTATTGTAGAAGAAATTTTGGAATCCATAAGAGCCAAAAAGGGAGAAGTTGATGATGATAAAAGCCCAGAAGATATCGACAAAGACAAGAATGAGACTGAGAACAGTAATTGTAAAGATGCTGAGAAAAGCAAAGAGGAGGTTGACGACCAGTCCCTTGACAAAGACAGTGACAGCAAGATGCCTGATGCTCCTGAGCCAGGAAAATCTGAGGGTAACCACATTACTTGGTTAAAAAGCAATACTTTCCCAGTGTTATTAATGAAACCTCCACTTGCAAAGTGAAAAGGAAAATTATTACTGCAAACAACTACTTAATGTTACATTCCTAAGGAGATTAGGATACCCTCCACTCCTATAACTTGCAAGACAATTGTGATGGATTCCATGTATTGGAGGATTTGTGATAATGTTTGACTCTAGTCACATTTCCTAAAAGGTTACCACTTCCCTATGGGATTTGTTGGTATAAAATTTGTTTTTATTCCAGAGTATCTACTTTTGAATGTGTTAAAATATGTTATTTTTATATTAATTTCTTAAACATTCTAATGTAAGAAATATTTTCAAAAAAATACTCTGATTGCCTATTGGGAAAGTATCTCAGAATTGAATTGCTTTAAAATGGCCATCAGATGGAAGCAGGATTTCTAGTAATTACGCATTTTTAATAGTTGATTGTATGTGGCCATTTGCCCTCAAGCAACTTTAAAGAATATTTTTAAAGTTTTGTTGTGCATTTTACTGTAGAGCCAACAGAAGGTGGGGACAAAGTTAACTCTATGTCAGCAAACCTTGGCGACAGCACAGCAGCTGCTGCTTCTCAGGAGACTAGGCCCTGTGAAGGGAGGAGCCCCATGGCTTGTCTCTCAGAAACCCAGGATAGCAGCACCATGGCAGAGAAGAAGGCGGCATCCGAACTCCCCCAGGATGTGCCAGGTACAGAGGGCAGTGTACCGTGCCTCTGTGACGGGGGGGATCCTTCCCCCCCCACAGTCAGAGCTGAGTGTCACCTGCATCTTGCGAGTCCTTGTGTGTGCTCATTCGTGCTGCTCACTCACAGTGCCATCCCTGTTTGCTGAATGACCAGCTAACATGTGGGGTCTGATAACTGCTCTTGCAGTTAGTGCTTGAGACTCATAATCCTCCTGCTTTTTTTAAGCATCATCTCACCATTTTTGTTGAATGGATTTATTTATAGATTGTTTTACCATACCATAATGGCAGATGTTTTGATTTTAACTACTTACGTATTAATGGCTCAATGTTGAATGATTTGATCCTTCCAGTTCTGTATTTACTAACAAATTAATTTTATGTTTGCATGTGCTCATGTAGTTTTTACATTTCAAAATAACACTTTGGTAGAAAACCATCACATGTGTTCTTGTAAGGTGTTGTTTTTGACGTAAAATGTAAGTTAAACAGTACTTTCTTATTTTAAGCTTTTAAAAAGTAAAGTTATACTTAAAGTTAGTTGCATCACACTAAGAATGTTATTATGCCTTTCTTTTTGCCTTTCTTAGAAATGAAAAAGAACATGTGTTACAGGAGCTTATGTGTTTTTAAAAAAATACTGAGATGAGTAAAATAAGAAAATAAACTCTGATAACTCCTCTGAGCTTCTCTGTCCCCCAAGGATTATAGCTAATACCTGGTTGGAATTCCTTAAGGACCCTTTTCCTGTGTGTTTAAGAACATCACCGATTTCGTGCTTTCTTTACTTTTCCTTGTTCTGTTTTTTATGAGGAGGGAACTCTGGGGAGTTGGAAAGGAAACAGCCCAAAAACCTGGAAGCCCTTTCTTCCAGGAGTACCTGGGCTGTGAAGTTCATGTTCTTGAGGCTTCCAGGCTGCGTGTTTTTGGTTGGTCATGTGAGGTCTGATGAGAGCCGAGTACTGGTTGGCAGAGGCCTGGTGAATGGGGAGTACTGGCCTAACGGTAGGCTTCCTCCCTGTTGTGTATGTGGCCTTGAGAGGAAGCCAACCACAGTCAGCAGTCAGGCATGCATCGTAGGGAGACAGGACTGGTCAGGAAGAGGAAGCAGTCTGGAGTTGGCCACCTGAAGCAGTGATAAAGACACATTTTTAAAACCTTGAAAACAATGGCCATGACATTGAGGGCTGAGGTGGTGCTGGTATAATTATCCTCATCTGCTTGAGGGGCTGTCTGGGGGGACAGTGACCAAAGTTTTTTTTTTTTTGAAATGTAAGGCATGTAAGTAGAAACTAAATGGAAAGTTTGGTTAAGCCTTAACTGCTTTCTGAAAATTAGAGTCAGCTAGAAAATAGAAATGATAATTCCCTTTTTCTAAGATGTTCCGATAAACATAATCAGAGATGATTTTGGTGAGAGTCTTTCATTTGGATGGACTGGAGAAGCTCAGAGTTCTGTAATTCTGTGGCTAAATCTCTAGGTCCTGCCTAGTTGGAGAAGTTTATACTACTGAAACCTTCCCATAAGGCAAGGCTAAGAAATGGAAAGTAGCCCCACAGTACTATTTGCATACCTTTCATGTTTATTGCATTCGCAGTAGCATTCTTAGTAAATGCTTTAAAGAGTGCTCTTTGTCTGGACCGAGGCTGGGAGTGTCCTGGCAGTGCCTATATCCAGGATCAAAGAGGGCCTGACTTTGAATGCTGCCTCTGCTCCCAGTGGCAGGTTGGTGCTGAGGGACGTGGTGGTTGAGGCTCAAGTTCTTGGGCCCCTAGCACCTGTAAGGAGGACCTGAGTTAGTTTCCTGGGTTCTGACTTCAACCTGGCCCACCCTTGGCTATCTTGAGAGCCTTTTGAGGAGAGTGACCTGACAGATGGGAAGTCTGTTTTTTCTGCCTTCACATAGAAAGAAAATATTCTTTGTCCTTTTAGATTAATTAATTATATAAACCTCAGTCATACTGGTGGAATTGTAGATGATTTAGTTACTCTATTTTGTGAAAAAATATTTTCATGCTGATTGAAAGGCAGAGAGATAGAGATCTTGCATACATCAGCCCACTGCACAAATGGTCCACAATGGCCAAGATTGGACCAGGCTGATGTCTGGGTTTCCCGTGTGGGTGGCAGAGACTCAAGTCCTTGAGCCATTTTGTCCGCTGCTGCTGTAGCTGTATTTCCAGTATCTCAGATTGGACCAGATGCTGATACAGGTTGTGGGTGCCCCAAGCAGCAACTTAAGCTTCTGTGCCAAACGCTTGCCTATTTATTCTGTTTTTAAATTAAATCCAGTTGATTAACCTGTGCTTGGATTTTTGCGTACATATGGTTTTAAGTTGTATATTGACTAATTTAGTCATTCCTGAGATACATGCTCATTTGTTCTTTGAATGATTTGAGGGAGAAACCTTTATCCTAGCATCTGATTTGCAGATCTGTGGTAACTAATACACAGTGCAAAAAAAGTGTAATCTATGAGAACGAGGTGGACCTTTTTGGTTTGTTTACAGCCTTGGTGTCTACTCTTGAGGAGCAGTGCTTGCTAGTTACTGACTCCATTACCTAACAGACTGTTAACCCTGCAATTCTGAAGTAAACTGAAAGCATGCTGTTGTAAAAATTAAAAAGAAAGAAAGAAAGCAGGAGGGGTAGGGGAGCATGAGCAGTGTCACTGTGTTTCTCAAGCTAATAGGAAATACATGAAATTGGTTCACTTTTTATAAATACAATAATTTGAAGTATAAAAAGGAAAAGAATGCCAAGTGAATAATACATATAAGCCCTTGAGATTGTGCCTAACGCATACTACCTGCTCAGTACATACTGGGTGTAAATTGTCACTGCTATGTCCAATCAGTACTTTTGAAGAGAGAGGAAGTCTAGCAAGAAAAGAATAATAAAGTGAGTGAATTGAGTTATACATTTATGGATTCAGTGTTTGTTAATTAGCATAATCTTTTTAAAGTGCCTTTAAAAAAGATTACTTGTAAAGCAATGAAGGAAAGGGAAGGGGAAAGGAAATTGCTGATCTTTCTCTGCTGGCTCACTTTGTTAATGGCTGGAATGGGTGGGGCTGGGCCATCCTGAACCTAGGAATCTGAACTCTGTCCAGGTCTACCACGTGGCTGGCATGGCCGCTGTCTCCTGCTTTCTCAGGTATGTTTACAGGAAGCCGGATCAGAATCGAACCACCCGGAGCTAGTGCTGCAGTGTGGGGTGCCTGTTATGACTTCATCTTTGTGCCTCTGTCACCAACAGTGTGTTTATATGAGAATCTGGACACAGAATTTTAAGAAAGCTGGAATAGGAGCAGTAGCAATTGTCAGTTGCTGATACCTGAATGTGTTTGGAGTCACGGTGGGTCGTAGTTGGGTGACAGTGGGGCATGACTGAGGATGCTACACCTATAGTGGATTAAAATATAGCCATTTGTCATGGGTAGTTAACTTCATGACCACACTGGCTAGACTAAAATAAACTGAGAAGTCTGGAAACCTGGTATTCTCATACTTGTTCCCAAAGCTTGGAACATAATCTTATGACTTAGATTAAATTTATCTTCCTGGTTTAAATTTTTCATTTTTATTATCAGGAGATTTCTGTTTGAAAGGCAGAGTTAGAGTAAGGGAGAGAGGTATCTCCTATGTTTCTACTAATTCTCTCCCAAATGGCCACAACAGCCAGGCTGAGGCAGGTGTAGACAGGAGCCTGGAATTCGTTCCAGGTCTCGCACAAGGCTGGCTGGGTCCTAGGCGTTTGAACTGTCTTGTGCTGCTTTGCACAGCACGTTAGTAGGGAACAGGCGTGGAAGAGGAGGAGCAGCCAGGACTTGACACGTGCTCACACCAGTATTATTAATTTTTCTATTGGAAAGGGGGATATACAGAGAGAAGGAGATAGAGAGAGGAACATCTTCTGTCCACTGGTTCACTCCCCAGGTGACCACAACAGCCAGAGCTGAGCCGATCTGAAGCCAGGAGCTTCTTCTGGGTCTCCCACGCGGCTACAGGGTCCCAAGGTTTTGGGCCATCCTTGACTGCTTTCCCAGGTCACAGTCAGGGAGCTAGATGGGAAGTGTAGCAGTTGGGACACACACAGGCACCCATAATCGGATCCCAGCAGATATTAGGTCGGCTATTGTACTTGGTCATTTTTTTGTTTGTTTTGTTTGTTTGTTTTATGGAAACTAACAGCTTCCTGCTGATGCTCCTATTGGAAGGCAGGATGGCTCCAGTAACTGGATATCTGTTTCTATAGAAGACTTAGGGTGCTCCTGGCTTCTAGCCCTGGCCTGTTACTGGCATTTGGCAAGTAAACTGGTGAATGGGAGTACTCTTTCATTCTCTTTCTTTCAAAGAAAAATTAGAAAATAAAAAGTTTGAATGGAATCACAGACTTTGTACTCGTTTTTTTTCCCCCCTAACTTCCTCCATGTGTCAGTGAGTGCCATCTGGGTGATTCTTGAGTCATTCTAGTTTTTATTGCTGTAAGATAGTCCATTATATAGACATATCACAATTCACTCATCCTGTTCGTTAGGGATATTTGAGTGGTTTTCAGTTTGAGGCCATAATGAATAATTATAAGAGGAATATTTCTTCATATGTCTTTGCACACACGGATATGCATTTTTCGTGATAGAAATCTAGTTGTGGGTCATTGGACTTGTAAATACTCTTGTAATTTATGTAATAGGAGTGCTGCTAGACAGTTTCCCAGAGGAGTTGTTCAGGTTTACCTTTCACCACCAACACTTGAACCTGCAATAGTCTGGTGGCAGCACTGTCTCGGTATGTGTGTGTGTGTGTGAGAGAGAGAGAGAGAGAGAGAGAGGACGTTCTGGTTGGCACATAGGAGTGGTTTGTTGTGGCTTATGCTTGCAGTTCCCTGCCCTGATGACCAAGGATTTTGAGCGGGTGTGTGTGTTAGGTCATATGGACATTGTGAGTGTCATAACATTTCTTCCTGAAGTATTAAATCAGCTGCTTTTACTTGTACTCGTT